TCTGTGTTGCAGCAGGCTAGCGTGTCTGGCTCAACGAGGTAGGGTTCTGGAGTCCTAAACTGGCAGGGAAAACGGACTCAGAGGTAATCTCAGCACGCCAGGTAACAGTCCCAAAGGGGTCTCTGTGACCAAACCCGTCACAGTGATATATAAAAATATAATACAGGAAAGGTCAACTTACAGCTTAATTGTTGGATAACCTCGAACTCCGAATTCAGAGGCAATGCCTGAAAGACACATTTGGTTATGTTTCTGTTTTCCTCTCATATATGCAAAAGAGGAATTACATGGTGTGTATAATAAATGCTGTTTAAACAAAAAGCGGATTGTTTATTTTAAACATGCATATGTTATTTTTCTAACCTCAAAATCAGTTCCAATGATTATTCAAAATTAATTGAATTAGTCATTTTATTCATTAAGTAGAAACATGTTAGAGACTCCATGTCATGAAAATGTAGCATACATGCATACTAGTAGTACGTATACATGTCAGCTAACACACAAAATACTAAAAAAAGTAGTAGTGAGACTAATATTTCCTCTGTAATCTCTATAAACCAACAGCAACTAGTTAGTGATACACAGTCCGACACAAATGTTGGGACTCAATGAACTGGAGTCCTGATTTGGATTTCAGGCAGACTGAGAAAGTGGTAGATTTTTTTAGGAAGGGGAAGGTCTGACGTCCTCTGGGCATCCTGTGGAGACAGATTTAAGGCTGTGTATTTGTTTTGTGAAGCACGTGACACCTTAACTCAGCATTTCCTGTTTTTTTGTACTGCCAGTGTCATTTTTGTCACAAATGAGATAAGTCAAATTCACAGCTACATACATGTGGCTAAATTTATGTATACAATGTACAGGACAATTGAGTAGCAGTACTACTACTACTACTACTATGAGTAGTGGTTCAAGTCCCCAAAACTGATGTTGTCATTGCACATAATCTTATTTGGGACAGTGTCAGCTACAGCAAAAGGCAGAAAACAGACAAGTTTTTCTTGACCCTGAGAGAGGCTCTGGGTGGTATCCACCAACATCAACACATCTGGACCACGGCTGTCCAGAATGTATGAAACTCTGCAACACGTTTTGGCATGTGCTCAACTGGGTTTCCTCTTCCCCCCCAAGCATATGGTATTGCTAATGTCTTGCATTCAAAAATCATGAATTTTGCATAAATCATGAGATTTTTAGAAAAATGTATATTTCCATTCTTTTTATTTGCTTATTTGGTTCTAAGCCTTTAGAGTTCACATTTTTAAGCTTTTCTCTTCAAGTCTGGAAGCTAGAAACTTATTTCTTTTTAAATGAAAGCTAGGATTCTCCCATAATTACAGGACTCCACAAACCAGAGCTTAATTTAAAATACACCAAATAAACTGGCAACACTAGCATTGTACTTGCTTTTTGCTCCAGTGTCCATACTTCAGTGGCTTTTTTGTACTATATTTTATGGGATTGGTTAAAGCCTAGGGGAAGAGGGTATCACTGAATGTGACCTATTAAGGAAGCCAGATCTCCACGTCCACCCCCACCTCCAACCCTTCATCTCACCGTTTTAAATTAGGACTAATTCAATAGTTGTGAGATTTAGGGATGTAAATGCAATTTAAAAAATTAACCGTTTAAATGATTAAAAATATGTTGTTTAAACTGTTAACTAATTAAGCAGCTGGGGCCAATCCCACCGGCTGGCGGGGCTGGGGCCAATCCAGCTGGTGCAGGGCCACTGGGATCAGCCGGTCAGCCTGGGGGTAAGAGTTAAGGTGGGTTAACCAGTAAGACTAATGTTTACCAGTTAATCAGTTGACCGGTTAACCTTTTACATCCCTAGTGAGATTTACTGCTACCTATGTTTTTTGTGCATCTTTCAGGACATGCAAGTTTGCAATACTACTCTGCCATTAGAAGGTAGTTAAAATGCCATTTTTCCAGGCCTACTTTACTGTCAACATGGCCACTATGTATTAATAAAAATGTCTTGCTGTCAACAATACGCTGGTACACTTATTTCTGAAGCTCTTAGCTTAACCTCAAGCAATCTGGGCTGCTTCATGTACTTCTAAATAGCTTGTTGAGTTTTAGTGAATGCCATATCCGTCACTACCACCTAATTCCAGGATATTTCCCCAAATCTAAATGGCCATACCTCCAGTCTGCTCATTTTGTGTGGGATTTTACTCTAAAGGATGCTTGCCACAGCCTATCATGCTAACCAATAGTGTGTTATTGTTTCCTTGTACTCCCCCCATATGTCTGCACCTGTTGGGTCCTGTCTTATACTTTAAACTCTTTGGAGTAGGGACTGTTCTGTGTTTGTACATTTAACACAATGGGGTCCTGACTGATGACGGAGGCTTCTAGAAGCTATGATAATGCAAATATCTGCTGACTCACACGGGACAGTCGGGGCACCACAATTTTCCATACAAACAATGTTACCTCAAGAAATTAGCAAATCAGCAGCAAAAACAACATTATCAAAAGTGCTGGTGTTAACTCGGCTCCTAAGTCCCATCTTCAAAAGAGACTTAGGCCCCAAGGAACAGAATTGCCATGGTATCTAGACACCTAAAGATGCAGGTAGGGTCTGGGTGGGACCTATAAAAGCACCCAAGACCAAGTAAACAGGAGTTAGGCATGTGCAGTCGTGAAGTTTAAGGCCAGAAGGAACCACCAGATCATCTAGTCTGACCTCCTGTGTATCACAGGCCACCAACACCCCCAGCACCCACGCCTTAAACCCAACAACAAAAATTAGGCAAATTATAACAGCCTGCAGGAGACTAGACTATTATGTGCCAGAGGGAGAGAACAGGAGGGACCAATGTGCCACAAAGGCCGAGGCCTCTGCAATGGCAGGGAAATGATTGCGATATACCCACATAAAACAACACATGCTACAGAGGAAGGAACCTATCTGAGCTGGTAGGAAATTCCTTCCCAAGCTCACATAGGGCAATAAGTTAGACCTTGAGCATGTGAGCAAGTCAGCCAAGCACCTGAGGGATTAAATGCTCGGTGCCACTTCAGAGCCCTGGCCCTCTCACCCTCAACATCCCATCTAAATTGCTTAGGCATACTTGAAAAATCCAGCTTGGCGCCTATCTGCATTTTCAGGCACCTAAATATCTTGGTAAATCCTGACATTTCAGCCTAAATTTCCTTTGAAAACAGGACTTAGGAGCTCAAGGCACATAGGCACACTTGAAAATGTTACCCCAAATCCCTATTCATGTGTGAAAATATTGCAGCTGGCAAACCCAGAAGTCTTTCAGAATCTAAACAGAGGTTTACTTCAATCTGGGACAGTCAGAGATGATTCCTGCAAAGTATCTGCTTGTGGCAGGGCTGTTATTTCAAGACCTCTTTCACCATAAGGATAATGAGTTGTTGAGAGGTGAAACTGAACATTGTAGTCCTCTGTCCCTTTACCCAAACTGTAAAAACTGCAAAATGAATTGTGGTTCTACAAGCAAGGTAGGATAGTCATTGCAAAGTCAAAGTTTTTGAGATACTGGTTGTAAGGAGTGTTTTGTTTAAGTGTGCATAGCAGTTAATTTGTGTAACACTTTATGCTGTTGGAGTGCTTCCCAAAACTGCATTAATTGATCAAGAGCAATAGACTTGTAAAATGAATGAATAAAGCCAGAAGCTCTTGACTAAGAGGTTTCTCACTAGTTTTCCGCTGATCCCCAATCCCCCTCTTCCCGCAAGATTGATTTTCAATTTCTACACACAACGGTGGAGACATACAGCAATGAGAAGGTGGACAGAAATCTGCTGTCTAGTGAGGCAAGGATTTCAACAAGATGTGTATAATAGCTTAAGGATTGACCATGCGAAAGCACTTTACAGTTCTGAAAGTGCAAGTAGATCTACCTGGCCTAGTAGTAATCAAGTAAGGAACCTAAAACAGACAAGTTGTACCTTATTATGGTGGGCTCCGTAAATCAGATCAAGCACCTTATAAAGAAATTAAAGAAACTTATACCAAAGATAGCACTTTTCAGGGTCCTACCTTCTATGAGGTTACTCCTCTTTTCTTATTTGTTTTAAGTGTATAAGGATCTGAGGCTTTGGTTGAAGGGGGTAAACCACAGCAGCATGAGTTGAAAAGTCACTAACAGTGGGATATGATACATTCACGTCTTGGTTACTTACTGCTATACTTAGCCAGCAGATCCTTCAAGACAAGTGCATTTGTTTATACGATACAGTCTTTTTTTTAATAGTAATTCTTCTGGTTGTTTCATTTTCAAAACTAGTTGACAACAAAACTATGCCTACACAACACATACTTACTAGAATAGGAAGTCGCATCCATCTTCCCAACTTTTACTGGAGAACCACTGCTTCTCATCTCTATACCAACTTCATTCCATACAGGCTCCAATTTCTTGCAATGGCCACACCAAGGTGCATAGAACTGAGAACAAGTCAGAAGTGTGGCATTAAACAGAATCAGTGAACTCTGTATAAAAATGGAACTCTCAATCCACACATTTGGAAAACCAATAAAAGTTGCCAAACAGATAATCCTCTCTTGGTTTATAAGGACTTCTTCAAATTCAAGTTTTTCACTCCAGTTTTATGAGCAAACTGAACTTTCATGATTTAACAGTGCAGAACCAAAATGAGTACTTCTAGATGCTATATTAATGTAGCAATTCCTGTCCTGAAGGATATGTAGGAAGATTTTCTAAAAAAGAGACCTACTAATAATTTATATTTCCCTTCAATGCAGTGCTCCTGTCTATGAAAAGTCACAGGACAGAAGCAGACTATGTAATCTTATCTTCTAAAAAAGTGTACCTGGAGGGGGGGAAAAAAGCATCACCTGGATATAGTGTCTGATGGGTGACTAGATTGATATCCGTATAAAGGAATTTGAGCTTATAATATCTCTATTGCCTGCCAGAAAAGCCTATCTGTTTGGTGGAAGTCTCAAAACAAGAAGCAGATTACCATGACTTCAGATTTCCAAAGGAAGCAGAGTATTGAACACAAATGAGCAAATATCTTGTAACCATAAACATTTATGTCATAATATTTGTATTTAGTAATGTGTAGTAGTTGCACGATCACCAACAGTGCCGCCAAATGGTTAGATGGGGATTTGGCAGAGCACCTGCCCTTTGAAAGCACAGTCCAGTCCTTCTGTGTCCCTGCCCCAAGGGTTTCCAGTCCTTCCCTTTAGCACAGAAACTTCGTTGTGGTTGGGTCTTTGAATAGGTAAGGTCTTTTCCAGAAGGTGTCAAATCCAGGTGAAGACTCCTGGGATGGTAATGTCCTTTCAACGTGGGTAGAAGAGCCCAGGTCCATCTCTCCACTGGGCTGTTCCAGGGCACAGTGGTGGGCAGCTACACTTGACACCTTGGAGTGCTAAGCCACTGCCCTCCCCTGGACCACTTCCTACCAAGTCTCCTTTTGTTTCCTGAATAACTCACTATAATCAAGTCTCTGGCCTGCAAACTCAGTCGCTTTCCTCTCCTCCGTGAGTTTGCACAGGCCTGTGTTGCCAGATTCTAGGGAATGAGCTCCTGGGCATTATTTTCCTTTCAGAGCAGCCCTCTGCTCCCTCTGAACTGCTCTGCTCTCCTTTTTAGAGCACTGCCTCCAGCTTGTACAAGCTTAGCAGGTGTAGCCTGGGCCCAGAGCTGTTCCTTAACCCCGTGTTCTCTAGTGTGGGGTTTGTATATCCCATCACATAGTGTGAACCAACTCCTATTTCCTTCAGAGCCAGGATGCAGCTGGGAGAATTCCTTCCATCCTTCTATCTACCAAGGACTTAATCCTACACTCACCGAAGTCAGTGTTGAAGGATCACGGGCCCAGGAAATCGATTTCCCAGTTGAGAAGGGGGTTGGTTTTGCCTTTGTGGAAGTTACTGATTCAGAAGATACTATATATAATTTGCCACTTATTTCTCAACAAATATGGTTAATATGAGCTATTTGGCAACTGTATTCAGCTTGTATAAACCTTACTTTGAATTCAACTTTTGGTTCTACACCTAGTCTTATGTTCAGTATTCTCTAGTTCTAACACTTTCCAAGTATATTAGACAGTAAAATAAATGATTTTGAACAATGAACATGATACAAGAGCTAAAATCTGAAGTACATGCATTAGCACGTACAGCTATGGGATAGTGGTTTTTTGTTTTGTTTTTTAAAGAGGAAAATGAGTTCTTCCAATATCAATTGTGTAGTATATTGTGGTTCTTTTATTTTTTTAAACAAAATTAATGGAAAGCTGTTAAGTTTCAACAAAGTGTGAATCTTAATACTTCTCACATACTCACATCTACAAGCCAAATGTCATCTTTACGATTGTCTTTAAATCTAGAAAAGAAAAGCACAGATTGTAACACGTATATACACAAGCACACATATACACTATTTGTTTCTGAAGGAGGGGGACAAAGGGACCTGGTTTAAAAAAAAAAAGAAAAAGGAAGAGACATCAAAGCAAAATATGGCAGGCATATTAAGCCCATCAGTTTTTTTACTATTAAAATTCCTTGTGTATTTCACACTGCAGTGTATAGTATAGTATTAGTCCATCAACACCCTTTGCCACCAATGAAAAAGAAAAAAAAAAATCCCAGAACTACTGAAGTAAGGGTAAATGACTATAGGAAGAAATGGTTTGCCAATATGCAGATTTACACTATATAACAGGTTCAATGGTACAGTGGACTGGAGTCTGTTTTCAATCACTATAACATAACTTTTTACTACACACTCTACATTTAGCCTAATGCATTTCCCCAAAATACTACTTCAAATTAAACTGTAATTCAGCTCTTCCTCTTTTCCGGAGAGCTATACATGCTAAGTAACATACACAACCAACAATAATGTATACACTAAAATATCCTAGATTAACTTTCTAACTAGTTTTCAAACTCAGAGTGACCTTTATATTTGTTTGCTCAATACTGTAAAAATCTTGCAGCTAGCCTAGTTCCATGTTAAAGTTATCAGTCATTTTAACATAACCTCAACATTTACTTTACCAAGACTTTAACATCAAAGAACACAAAGTTAAGATAGTGAACAATACTAATCTATATTTTCTGGCCTTTATTTAATGTTAGAGTAATGACTGACAAGATAACAAATTGACTAGTTTTAACAGTATTGTAGAGTTTGCATTAAGTTGAATGTGAACTGGAAGTCTATTACATGGCTACCAGGGAAGTCCTTATGAAATACACATTTTAATCATAATTGTAATCATTATAATAGGTTTAAAGTAGTACCTAACTAGATGAATTTTGTATGTATTTATGAGTCTATTTTTCTTGTCATTACAATTAGATGACAATGAGAGCACTTACTCGAAAGTTATTTGTGAACTGAACTACAGTTTATGATAGTGAGGACCTAACAGCATTCAGATCCAAAGGTAACACATTCATGCATTGCATAGTTTCCTTACTGATGTCTGCCAACACATCTCAGTTTTGGTTGGCAATGCCCTTGCTACCACAGCTCCAAGCTTCTCCCAAGGAAAGATCACTAAATGCATCTAGTTGTGTAAAACACATTTGTTCTATGGCTTGTGTTAGGCAGAAGGTCAGACCAGATGACTGTAAAATCTGAGTCATAATGGTCTAGGGGACAGATCACAAGCCTGGAAGCTACAAATTTAGGACCAAACTAGTGCAAGAAGAAAACCAGGGATGAACTTGGTCTGTGAAATGCAAGTAAGTTGAGATTTTGTGATGGCTGTAGGCAAGCAATATGAGACCACCATAGTCACATACGACCTAGAACATGGTTTCATCTCATACACCTACGGAGAAGGAGGCTGAGTTACCTAACTCACTATACCACCTAGTTTTCCCTCCTTTCACCTTTTAATTTTAAATAATCAAAAGAAACCTTAAAAGCAAGTTTTAAGAAGCTGACTAAATGCTTGGGGAGGGAAAGAAAAGATTCACCATTTGCTTGCTGAAGTGCTATCTTTTAACTATATTTATCACAGCCATAATGTTATGGCTGAAACACTTTATTTAGCCCACTGCTCTGAGGTATTGAAGCAAATGCATGTTCAAATGTCTGGAGGAGGCTGGGGGAATTTAGTACAACCTGATCAGACAGTTTATTGAAAGAATCAAACATGAAACAAAGATGCTGACTGAGGATTTGAAATATCTGATTATGTTAAAGAAGCTATATAAAATGTGTGCAGTTTTTTTTTAGCCACACATGCCTCATCTACTCATTTTACTGAAAATCAATTTTACTATTGTTTGCACTGTAGAGTTAATGAAAGATATACGGTAGGTGGATTCTATTGTCCCTTGTGCATTAAAAATATGTTGGCAACCTCTAATTATGAAATCTGAAACATTGGTGATGATGCAAGAAGCAGAAAGCAACAGTTTGATTTTCAGAACCCAGGTTCTGTTTGCAATTAGAATATATCTTCTACGACTTGTAATCTGAGAATTTGATATAGAACCCACTCCTGCCCCCTCCAAAGCAGCTACAGACATTTTTCATATATATTTTACTTCATGCAACCAAAGCATATGGTTCTATTCTACTCATGGAATATTAAGGCACATGGTCAAAGATGTGAATAAAAACCAGTGGATGGCAGGCCACAAAAATCAAGCAAGTGAACAGGAAGAGGATGCAATGCAATAAGCAAGTTTAAGTTTCCATTCAGACCTTGGACTGCTACCCTCACACACATTTTTTTTCTTTTTTAAGTACTGAATAACATCTTCACAAGAGGCTAAAGAGACAAGAAATTTCAAAAATATATTATAGATCATTTTAACCTATGTTACGAGTAGCACTATTTATGCCATATTACTTTTTTCATTTCTCTCAGGTTGACCTGAAAAGAGCTCTGTGTAAGCTCGAAACCTTGTCTCTCTCTCACCAACAGAAGAAGCTGGTCCAAAAAAGGTATTGCCTCACCCACCTCCTCACTCTAAAGAAAGTCAAGTCAGTTTCTCATTCAAGCTCCTAATTCTACACTATCTGAAGGGAAGTGTTTGTTGAGAAACAATTGATACCAATGGAATCTAAACAACTATGTCAAATCAAGTTCTACAAAGCTTGTTTGCACAAAATTTAAGTTTTGAACCATATTTAAGTGTCCTTTTTACTAAGAGATGGACTGGCAAAAATATAAGAGCTGAAGTCTTATATTTTGATATTCTTATCTTTGTCAGTTTTACATTATTTAAACTTAATTTAGTTTAAATTTCTAAGAAAGAATCACATTATTTAAACTCCCCCTTGCCAAAAATACCTTTCATAAATGTGTATGAAATTTTAAAATGCATTTTATAGAGTCCTTGGTAGAAATTACGGTAGATATTTAAAATTCATATTGTTACTTGTGTTAGACTAAATTCCTGTGAGATCGTGCACATTATAGCAGGTAGCAACTTTTCAACATTAGTATTATTGACTGTTACTTCCAACACTAAACTTTATAAATCCCTAGTGAATACTATTACAAGCAGTGAGTGCTTGAATTAGGCAAAAGCAAAATATTATTTTAACCCAATGTAAAAAGTGTTTCAAACTTTTTTAAAAGCCTTAATTATGAAGCATCTACATAGTTGTTCCTGACCTGACACATAATAAACCAAATTTCAGCCCAGAGAGAATTTTTACAACTAAATTATAATACTGTATTTTCAGGACCATGTAAATATCAACATAGCATTATATAGTCATGAATAACTCCATAATACCCAATTACAGTTGTCATAGGACAGACAGTAAATCAAGCAGCAAGAGTAGCATGTGCTACAGCCTGGTAATTTATTAATCTACAGCGGGGCGGGCAAACTTTTCGGCCTGAGGGCCACATCTCGGTATGGAAATTGTATGACGGGCAATGAATGCTCATGAAATTAGGGGCTGGGGGGGGAGGTGAAGGATTGGGGGGAGAGCCTCTGGGGTGGGGCTGGGGATGAGGAGTTTGGGGTGTAGAAAGGTGCTCTGGGCTGGGACTGAGGGGTTCAGAGGGGGATCACAGGTTTGGGGTGCAGGAAGGGGCGCATGCTCCGGCTCAGGGTGCGGGCTCTAGGGTGGAGCTGGAGATGAGGGGTTTGGGGTGCAGGAGGGTGCTCCAGGCTGGGACCGAGGGGTTTGGAGGGCAGGAGGGGGATGGGGCACGGGAGAAGATAAGGAGTGCAGGCTCCAGGCAGCCCTTATCTCAAGCAGCTCCTGGAAGCAGTGGCACGTCCCCCCTCCGGCTCCTATGCACAGGTGCAGCCAGGTGGCTCTACGCACTACCCCATCCACAGGCACCGCCTCTGCCGCTCCCATTGGCCGCGTTTCCTGGCCAATGGGAGCTGCAGAACCAGCATTTGAGATAGGGGCAGCGTGCGGAACCCCCTGGCTGCCCCTAAGCATAGGAGCTGGAGGGGAGACATGCCGCTGCTTCCGGGAGCCATGGCACGTGCGGAGAGGGGCAAGCCTCCAACCCCGCTCACCAGCGGGAGCTCAAGAGCCCGATTAAAAGGCCTGACAGGCAGGATGCAACCCCCGGGCCATAGTTTGCCCACCCTGATCTACAGCCATTCGATAAATGTGTATGATAGAGAATCTAATATAGATAACAGGGATTGGGGAAATGGAGGTTACTGACACGCACATTCAGAGAACTTCCTACAGATGCTGTTTTTAGGCCACACGTACCAATTTTTTAATACAAAATTCTTCTTTTTTCAGCTAAGTAGTTTATCAGCAGATACCCCTTTTTAAAGAAACTAGTACACTGAAGCAAAGTGATCTAATAGACTGGGAGTCTAGAGACCTAGTTTCTATTCCCATGTGTGCCACTGGCCTGCTGTGTCATTTCACCTGTTTCCCCTACCATCCTTTTTCTCTCTCACATAATGAGGATGTAAGCTCTTTGGGATAAGGACCATTTATTACCAATGTCTTTGTATAATACCTAGCTACCACAATGGGACCGCTATGAAGTACTATAATTCAAATAAATAAAAACAATGCAAAGCTTTCACCAATATTCTACTTTCGTAGTACCTGCTGCTGGACTTTTGACAGAAACTAAAAATGTTTACCCTTCATACCTTCCAGTTATTTATAAGAAGATATGCCACAGATTTGTGGCCCTATACCAGCACTTGTTTGATAAAAGAGCCATAACATACACATTTGGACAACTCATGGCTTATTAAAATAAGTTTCCCCGGGCTCTGAACTAGAAGTTGTCAACACTTTCAAATACAGATATTTGCACAATCCACTAAAGGCTAGCAGATACTGTAGGAAACTTCTACTAAAAACATAGAAATCAAGCAGTGCTTTCTTTTAGGAGCTGTTTCACAAAAATTCTCTAGCTATGAAAATGTGCTTCTTCCTCACTCCAACCCTTGACCAGATTTGAACGTACTACCATAGTTAGAAACATGGGAGGAAAAAAGCATGTTTATTACTGTGTCTGTTTATTCTTATTCTTCAGTCTTCCAAACTGATGATCCCTATTCACAGCCTCTGAAAACAACACGCAGCCTTTGCAAACTAAACCATGCTCACTGTGCTTCAACTTACTAGTTATGAGGTGATATTTATACAAACCACATCCTTTTCTTTCATGCATTTCATGGTTGCTACTAGAGAAAGAAACAAGACTTATTTAGCATTTTCGGCTGAGTAATACCACAGAGCACCAAAGCAACAAAGGAGCAGCACCTCCATGAAAACAAACAAAGAAATACCTAGACAACATTTCACGTGACAATAAAATAGGAGTACTTACGAGTCATCCAAGTCTTCCACAAAAGCTGCATCTAAAGTCAAGACAAGTGCAGCAGCTGTCAGGAAAAGGGGAGGGGGGAGGAAAGGTAGTAAGTAGGTTGCAGGACAAGGTAATGGCATTTACCCTGATTAATTCATTGCCACTACTGTCCCCTCCAAACGCTCCCCTCACCCATTACCCTCTATCATAGGGACGCGCTGCAGGCACCTCTAATATGCCCCATACTTATGAAAATAATCTAGTGCAGTTTTTTTCAAAGTTCAGGTCATGACCCAGTACTGGGTCGCGACATTTAAGGCACTGGGTCGCCTTGCTTGATACTCAGGGATCCATGCGGTTCTGGTCTCCATCATCAACCAGGACATTAAAAGTACTGCCGGCGGTGCTGCCCAGTTAAGGGAGGCTAGTGCCTTTCTGTTCCGACACCGTGCTGTGCCCTGCAGCGGGTCCAGCTTCTAGGTAGGGGGGCCACGGGGCTCTGCATGCTGCCCCTGCCCCGATCACCGACTCCGTGTTCCCATTGATCCAGCCAATGGGACCTGGGGGGTTGCCTGAGGGCAAGAGCCTAGGAGCCGAACCTGCTGCTGGCCACTTCGAGGGCTCAGTGCGGTCCCCAGTGCCAGGACACGCGGGAAGCCTGCCTCTATATCCCTACTGTGCCATTGACCAGGAGCCGCCGCAACCCCCTGCCCCAGCCCTGTGACCCACCCCCAACCCAGAACCCCTTCCTGCACCCCAAACTCCTCATCCCTGGCCCCATCCCAGAGTCTGCACCCCCATCCCAGAGCCCTGACCCCCTGTCCCAGCCCTAAAGCCCCCCCAAAACCCAGAGCTCCTCCTGCACCCCAAACCTCTGCCCCACCCCTGAGCTCCCCCAAACCCAGAGCCCTTCCTGCACCCCAAACCCCTCATCCCCAGCCCAGAGCCCCCCCACACTCTGAACCCCTCATTCCTGAGCCCATGCTGCAGTCCTCACGCTCACACCCCAAACCCCTCATCCCCAGCTCCATTGGGTCGCAGGCATCAGCAATTTTCTTCAGTCCTCACCCCCCCCCCACCCCAAAAAAGTTTGAAATCCACTGCTCTAGTGAATTTAGCCAGTCTGCTTTGCATCATGCTTGGTCCGACCACTTTTATTTGGAGGGTCTTTGCCCCGTCTCCTCCGCAACCCGATTCTCTTCCCTTTCATCCCTCAGCCTTCCCGCCTGCAAGAAGCTTTGGGGCAATGACTCCTCCCCCCAAACAATCCTCCCTCCCCCCCTTTCCTAACATCCGCTCCCGCAAAGACCCCTCCCCCACATTTCCTTCCCCCATCACCCTCTCGACTCCCCATCTCGCCCCCCAGGCCCAGCCACGAGCTCTCCCCATCCCCCCACCCCGCGCGCACGCGCCCCCTGTCCCTCCCCCCGCTGGGGGGTCGCGGAGTGGGGAATGACGCGCCCCCGGGTTTACCTGCTGCCCACATGAGCCGGCACCGCCCGCTCGCCGAGGCCATATTGACAGGAGGACTCGGGAAAGCAACACAACTTCCGGCCAGCGGGGGAAACCAAACCGCACGCGTCGCCCCGCAAGACGCCTCCCGCGCAAGCGCAGAGAGGACGGGGGGCGGGCGCCGCTGGAGGGTTAGGCCACGCCCTCTCAGAGCCTGTTCCACTCCGAGCGCCCGGCGCGAGCTGGGTCTGCTGGCGGCTGCGCCTTCCTTCCCGTCCCCGTTCTCAGTGCGCGGGCTCCCCGCCAGCCCGGTCGGGGAGCAGAGCGGAGAATTCCCCCTCCCCCCAGGCGTTGGTGCCGCCTAATGGCAGTGGGCGTTAGTCCCCAAAATCACACGCACGCCGCTAATGTGAGGACCGCCTGCGGCAAAGCATGCAGCCGAGAGCTGACTCCTCGGCCCCTGCCTACCCGCGCTCCAGATCAGAAAGAACCAAACCATCCCTTCCCCATATTGCTGTTCTTGAGCTCTCCCCTTTCTGCATTGCGCTCAGAGTCACACACGCTCTGGGTTCTCACTGCATTCACCTGTGCAAATTGTTCCAAAGGCAGCACTGCTCTCTGCTGTGATGGTTTGGTTTCAGACACCACAGTGGAGTTTGTATTAATTAAAAAAAAAACACTTTTCACTGAGACTTCTTTAAAAAGAAAAGTCAGAACCCATGATGGGTAGGCCAGTTGGAGAAAGGAGATGAAACATATCTGTCCGAGAGAGCAAGGGTGCCCAACTTTACAGGGCAAAGTAGGCTCCAGCAAAAAGGGGAAGCTGCAGCACAGCAGTTCTCAAACTGTGAATGTTGTGACCCTGTTTTAATGGGGTCACCAGGGCCAGTGTTAGATTCACTGGGGCCCAGTGAAGCCACCCCCAAGTGACATAAGTTACACTGACCTAAGCACTGATGTGGAGGGCTTCTCCCATCAACAGCTGTGGCTGCTTCTTGCGGGTGGTTAATTAAGTAAAGGAGAGAGCTCTCTCCCATCAGCTTAGAGTGGCTACAGTAGATAGTTTACAGCAGAGCAGCTACATCCGTGTACCAGTAAGCTCTCTAGTCCACCTTAGAGGGTGGACTTACTGTGGTAAGTATCTATGCTACAGCTGCTGCTGTAGCATGAACATAAGAATGGCCGTACTGGATCAGACCAAAGGTCCATCTAGCCCAGAATCCCATCTTCCAACAGTGGCCAATGCCAGATGCCCAAGAGGGAATGAACAGAACAGGTAATCATCAAGTGATCCATCTCCTGTTGCCCATTCCCAGCTTCTGGCAAACAGCCTAAGACTTTGTTGTTCTTGGCCTTGTTTAACTATTCCAATGACAATTCACAAACCAGAGAAAAATATATCTCACTCTTTTATTTATGTTTATCCTAGAATATTAACAGGAGTAACTGTCATTACAAAGAGAATAGCATATGCTGTGCTAGATATAAATTCGGCTCAGGTTACTTCCTCTTTGAACTGCCTCCAGGGTTCCTGTGGGACAGCACAACAACACACTGTCCCTTGTTCAGGGCAGATATAATCATGATCTAGTGCTAATGTGCTTGAGGATCAGAGCATGGATAAACCATTGGTGATCTGCTTATTATGCTAATCATAATCTCATTACTAATTTGTACTCTTCCCCTCACCAACCCTGGTTGTTGTAACCAGCTGTTGTGTCATCTTTAGGGAGTTTGTAAACTTTTTGAGTCAGGGACCATCTTTTCACTGTGTATATGTTTAGAGTTCCTATCACAAAGTGGTCCTCTTTGATTGCGGCTTCTAGGTGATAAATAATAAATCATATTTTCTTACAGAATCACTTTTTGCCCCAACTCTGTTTTACAGTTAGTCTCCTTCTGAACACAAGTAATAACTTCTGTTCCTGTTTTCTTTGTAAAATGTAAACTTTAGCTTATTATTATTCATGAAAGTTCCCCATAAATTGTTCAATCACACCACATCAACTGTGTTCATTTCTAATTTAAGGATTATTAGTTATTATTATTATTACCAGCCTTACAAATTTAAACTGAGATTTGAGCAGGGTTCTTTCCTTTTCATGCATCATCACCAGTAATAAAGGGACAAATAAACCATCAGTGACACTTGTTCAACCCTCATTGTCTTTAATGGATTTCCACAGATATAACCAAATGGAACTTAATAAACAGGTTCTGCAGACCCTTATTCCAGAGGCCTAATTTAATAACCACTGTCCAGCTCCCTGAAAAGCACCTTTTGTCCTCTCCCCTTAGGTTCAGAGTGCCACAGTCTGTGACTGTGTGGTTCAATTCCTAGGTTCACCGGCCTGCAACATCTCTCCTTAAGTCTAGGGTTTCACAGCCCAGCAGGAGATTGCATCCTGGCAGACTCCTTCTCAGGGAGTTCTCAAAAGTAGATATGTAACTTGGAACACACGGGCATACAATATATACCATGTGGCTTCCTTCATCCTAATGAGTCAAGCTTAAATCCAAACTGTAATTCAAACAGAGGGGGGAGTTGTTTGTTTATGTCTTTATTTATTAGTTAAACAAACAGATCTTATGCAACAAAAAGATTTGTAAAATCCTTACAAATGATTTACAGACAACAGACAGAATTCAAGTGTGGCATAGTTTTGGGTAAAATATTTAACTCAGATCTAGGAGACCGGTTAAGACCTAACATTTCAAAGCACTAATTACACTGCTCTACAGCCAAAATGCTTCTGAAATAAATGTAGTCAAACTTTACTAATTCTGGGTCACTGAGAACGAAAATGATGCTTAAAATTGTTGA